GGATGGGCCTATCCAAACTGAAAAGGGGTTGGAACTGGGTTGGAACTGGGTTGGAACCACCATTATATTTGAAGGATGGGCAGTGGGCACACCTATCCAAAAGTCAAAAAAGTCAAACGTTGCCCCACACATTGTAGGCCAAAGGTTAGAAAAAGGATTTTTGAAGTTCGAACTGGTTTCGAACTTGCAACTGGTTTTGACGTGGTTTCAAACTTCAAACTTGGAACTGGTTTTGAAGTGTTTTTGAAGTTTGAACTGGGGACTTGGAACTGGTTTTGAAGTTTGGACTTGATCAGAGTCTGATCTGGACTTCAACTGGTTTTCAACTGGTTTTGCAACTCTGGAACCTATCTTCTTCTTCTTCTTCTTTTTTTTTTTTTTTTTTTTTAATAATAATAAGTTGGCTTGAACGTGTTTTATGGAAATGATTAACTGGTGGTGTTCACATGCTTTGTGCTTTGCTGAGATTTGGACTGGGACTGAGACTGGGAGTGGGAGTGGGACTGAGAGTGGGGCTGGGACTGGGGCTGGGAGTGGGAGTGGGACTGGGGCTGGGGCTGGGACTGGGATAACAGCCTACTGCATCTATTCTAGGAATCCCTGAAGATCGCATATTCGCCAACTTGATCCTGTTTGGCGAAGATGGGAAATATAGTGGTTTCGACCGGTCAGAGCCGACATCGCGAAGCGGGGGAAAGCCACTGGCAATCGAGCTGTTACGAAAGGTAATAGTTATTATTTAATAATATTAAATCATCATTAAATAATAAATAGTCATAATAAAATAATTATGAATATAGGAAAATCATAAATGTTTACAGAAAAATTTCAAAAAATAGAAAAAAGCTTCAGAAAGAACTCAGCTCGTTTGAGTAGTTACCAGCTTTTGCATTTCGTCTTTTTTTTTTTTTTTTTTTTTTTTTGGTCGTTCTGCTGTCTGTCCAGTCTGTATCCGTCCCGTCTCCCATACCTCTATGGTCTGTCCCATCTGTATAGTTGCTACCATCCCATCCATAGTCTGTCCCATCTACATAGTTGGTACCATCTATGATCCGTCCCATCTACATAGTTGGTACCATGTATGATCTGTCCCATCTACATAGTTGGTACCATCTATGATCCGTCCCATCTATGGTTGGTGTGTCCCGTCTATGATCTGCGCATGCAAACGGCGAACCCTATGCATAGTTGGTACCATTTAAGATCCGTCCCATCTATGCTGTGTCCCATCTATAATCTGTCCCATCTATACATAGATGGTACCATCTATGATCTGTCCCATCTATAGTCTGTGCCATCTATAGGCTGTCCCAACTATGGTTTGTCCCGTCTATGATATGCCCGATCTACATAATTGGTACCGTCTATCATTTGTCTCATCTATGATCTGTCCCATATATAGTCTGTGTCCCATGTATAAGCTGTCTCATCTATGGTTTGTGCTGTCTATGATATNCCGTCTATCATTTGTCTCATCTATGATCTGTCCCATATATAGTCTGTGTCCCATGTATAAGCTGTCTCATCTATGGTTTGTGCTGTCTATGATATGCCCGATCTACATAGTTGGTTCCGTCTATCATTTGTCTCATCTATGATCTGTCCCAT